GTCACCGCCGGCAGGGGGCGCCGCTGGCTCCCGGTGGGCGGGGCAGGTGCGCTGATCCCCGCGCGCCGGCAGGGGGCGCTGTGGCGCGGGCTCGGGGAGCAGGCGGTAATGGCGGCTGGGCCCAGACGGGAAGGGATGGAAAAGAGAGGCTTTGCTTCAGCAGCCCTGCGGCGGGGCCGGCCCCGCTGCCTAGATGGGAAGGGATGGAGGAAAGGCATTGCTTCATGATCCCTGGGGCAGCAGATCCAGGTGCCCCAGCAGAATTCCAAGGAGCAGCAAGCTGGGACAGCAGAAATGAGTGGAAATCCTGAGGTGGTGGACAAGATGTATCAGAAGTTCCACGGCAGGAGCAGGAACTGCGGGATGTCTCATCAGGGCAGGAAATGTGGGGCCCAGAAGCAGAAGAAAGGCAGCTCCCAGTTGGGTTATGGCAGTGGCAGCAAAATTATTTTTCCCAAGTGCAAGTCCAGCCACCTTCCTGTTGTGATAAATGTGATTCGTGCTAATTAAATTGTAACTATATTAGCAAAATTGTATTTAGACCAATAGAAGACAATTGTTACAGAGTGAGGGGGGAGATGGGTGAGACAGGACAAAGGACATCTTCCAGATGTTGGGAGTCAAAGAAGGATGTTGTAAGGGAATAGTAGAAGGACGGAGGTCTGACAAGCAGCATCTAGAAATAGAAAGTTTCGACCTTGACATGGGCCAAAATGGGATGATTCCAGGCATGGGATTCAATTAAAGTCTTGTTATGGAAAACATCTGCTCAGTCACACACTGTGCACACACTACCTGCAGGTCACACCTCGATCGCTGATGAAGACGATGAGCCTTCATCAGAAACAAAACCCTCAAAAGGATGAGAGACCCCCTCACCCATTAGTAGAGCCTGTGCCGTACACATAGTGACGTAGATTCCAGAAATAGACACTAGGAGGAGTTTTCTAGAAATTTCTGTAGCATATGGGATATAAGTGGGATTGCTAGCCTGGATGCTTTGGTACGTGAGGAATGGCGAGCCCCTGCCCATATCCCTGGTTGAGGGCGGCCCTCCCCAGTCAGTCTTGCTTATGCTTTATACGACCCTCAATTATACTAAATTATTTACTGCCAAAATTTTACTTATCCTAAAATATATGTATTCAATACTTTGATTGTATTCATTTCCAATACTTTGATTGTATTCATCTCCCATACTTTATATGTATCCATTTATAATTGTTGCTATTAAAAATTTGCTGCTACATTTGCTGATAAACTGGAAAATAGAACATCATTCATAACACTCTGAAAGCCCCTCTCTGAAGAGAGAGCAGCTGTCCCCACCCCTTTACCTGCCCAGTTCCCGTGGTAACTCCTCCCTTGGAAAAAAAGAAGTGCAGCCAGATGCTACACTCTTCTCCCGACCTTGGCCACTCTTTTCTTTTTTTAAGTACCCATAAGTAGCCAGTAGTTAGTTTCCTAGCAACTTATGGGAAAAAATTCTAGAAGTAAAAAAGAAAGAAACCCAACCTGCAAAAATGACCTGCAAGAAAAAAATAAGCATGTCTATATTGATATATAGTATTTTCCTTCTGCAAAAAATTCTTTGAGTAAAAATATCAATGGCTTTGGATAAAGGAGAACCAATATGAGGAGGAGAAGAAAGGTTTCTTCAAAACTCAAGGTGAGAGAAAGGTGATTTTTTTTATGCTTAATAAAAGGACCAGCAATTTTTGCATGTAATCCTGTCCTAAGGTAAAATGAGCAATAATATAATAATGAGATCCTGGTGAGGAACACACATGGCAAAATGTCTATTTAAAATGATAACATCTATTTTTAAAAAGAAATTTTCAGGTGAGTAAATCTTGCTTCAAAAATTGTCTAGATAAGGAATTTTTCTAATTGGATTTCATGAAACAACTTGATCACAAGAGAAAAGGACAAAAATCTCCTCCACACAGACAAAATCCCACCTCCTTCTCTTTCGTCAAACCACTTGAGAAGAAAATTTTGATTTCTGGAAGTTAGCTGTTTACTGCCACTTCATTATGAAAATAATTAATACTTTCTGGGACTTCATGGCCCTACGTTTGGATATGGATCTCTGACTGTGGGATATTATTAGTAGGCAGGAGGAAACTAGGAAAAATTTTATCACAATGATGCACTTTTAATTTACTGAAAGCCTATTCTTATGATTTTTATTATTTCTTGGCAGAACAACTACTGAATATGTTCTGGTATGTCATGTAAATATATTGTTGTAGAAGTACATAGGATTCTCAAACAAAACTAAGGCCCCTTGCTATTACCTCAACACAGATGCCATCAAGACATATTGGTATACCTAAAATACCAGCATGGAGCTGGCAGAATTCACCCAAATCTTGTCATAAACCTGTCCATTTGTAAACCAAAAGAAGTACTCCAGGGAGTCTCAAATGATTTTTATTTAGGCAGCTGCATCTTGCCTGGGTGACAAGAGATACATAAGAAGAGAAGGAAAGAGAAGGAAGAGAAGTAAAGTGATTTTCAAATTCCAAAGCAGGTCAGCAGCAGTCTTCAATCTCTTCAAATACAGGTTTCTTCATCCTTCAGATAGTGATGAGTTTCCTAACAAAACCTTCCTATCCTTATGTTCATCAACAATTAAATTGGTGATTCAAGTGCATTATGTATGAATTCATCTGTTCTTTTGCAGCTATTTCCTGCATATCTGTCATCAAGGAGTTAAAGAAAAAAAAATCAAAACTTCACTGATGAAATTATATTATCTTTGTCTAAGGAGTAGGCTTGCTATACTACTCATCTGTTTAACCATCACTTTAGAAAAAAGAATAAATGCGTGCATACATTTTGAAGATCATAATTATAAGAGCATCATTTAACTTAATTAAGGAGTTGAGAATATATTGGCTGCACAAATGTGCCGTTATTGGAAAATTACTGGTGTGCCCAACTATCTTATTACCAACAGAACATCAACTAATATTCAAATGGTTGCTTGCATCTGCCACTGTCATGCTTCATTTTATTGCGATGTCACTATAATGTTTTTGCATAGAAAACATACTATCTGTGATGAAAAAAAACATTTAACTGGAGCTCAAGAATGCACATATCTGTACTTTCAGATGCATCTGAGACAAGAGTTGAATACTGCCTTTGTCTCAGGATGATTTGGGTTGGCAGAAAGTCTTTTAGAAGAATACAATTAAACAAGGAAAAGGTATGCTGTAGCGGTCCCTGAGACTTCACCCTCTTTCCTGACTTGCTCAGATGTTAGGAAGAAGCCTCTGGGATCCACTACATGGATGTGAATAAAAGATAACAAAAGAGGCTCTTTCCCACCTGGGGAGAATCTGAGGTTTATTTCTTGTGGGTCTCCAGGAGTGAAAAGAGGGCGAGGTCAGGGGGCACAGGTCTTTTCTAGGGTCTGTAAGGGAGCAAGGAGAAATTGGATCTCAGCCAACTGGCACGGCCAGAGAGGAGAGTGACCAGAGCACAGGACACTACAGGGGTCACGGAATCTGCCATTTTCAATACATCTAGTGAGTTACAACTGTATGCCAGTGATAAACAGCAAAGATGTACCTATGGCATGACTTTCTGACTCTATAATGAAATAAATTATAATGATATTCAAGTTAGTTACTCAGTTGAAGCAAGTTGATTGTCATTCTTGTAGTAAAGTATATTCCTACTTGATTAAAAATTGCATTGTTCTGACAGTGTTTCAAGAATTGAATAAATCACAGAATAGGTAAATGCCTAGTAAGGTATAGATTAGCTTATGTGTGATACCTTAATGCAGTAGTTTAATTTATAGCCTTGGTACCATGGTTTCAGTCAATATAGAGGAGCTCTTGTGCTAAAGCTGTCTAAATAAAGGCAGCTCTATTTTTTTGTTAATCTCAATTTCTTTAATAATCCTTGTATGTATTATAAATATATGGCATGTATTTATACCTACATACAAGCAGCTGATACAAGTTTGGAACTAACTGAGACTTTAGAGTCTACCCCAAATTTTCAAAATTGCTTCATTTGCTTACATACTTGAAATAAATTCAGTGGCATACTTTCAGAGATAGTCTTTTAAAACTGTATTCCATGCTGTGGTAAACATTCTTCTTCCCTCACAAAATCCTGTATTTTGTTCCTAGTATTTTGGGTTTTGTTTTTGTTGTTCCCTTTTACACTATAATTATATTCCACTTATCCCTGTTCTTCGAGCTGTTGGACATTAGAATAATTTACAGTAAAGAAATTAGAGCAGAAATTTACATTTCCCATGACTTCTCTCTCTATGGGTCTTGTCTAGACAGGTGGAAGTGCAAATTTCCACAATCTGCCACTTTCCTCTTATTTGTTCTATTACTTTCAAAGATTTATTCCTTTCTCTCTTTAGACCACACTCCCTTTCTACTCTTATGATCAAACAACAATTGTAAAGCCTTTTTGTGTAAAACCTGTCATAAAATGAATTATGATAGCTCCTTGTGGAGGCCAGTGGGCCTGCCACAGCTCCACCCACAGCCTTGCCATGGAGGGATGTCCCTTGGCTGGAATGTCCCTTGAATGAGCTGTGATTAGCTTATCTTAACCCTCCTGGAAGGATGCTCCTTAGGTTGGTACATCTTTTCTTATCACGGTGAGCTATCCCCAAAGGTTTCAGCGATCCCTAGTAACCATGTTAATCTTTTGTAATCCATTGGTCTTTGCCCCTTTGTACCACCCTTGCTTTCCCCCATAAAACCCTGTCACAATCCGCTGTTAATACAGAGCGGGGGTCGAGATGGTTCGTTTGATCTCAGAGGTGCAAACAGGCAAAATGCAGGGGACAAAATCAGTTTATTTGACAACAGCAATACATTTTTATTAAATGCCAACAACTCAGTTGCGATAGAGGGGAGAGATATAGGAAACAAAGTATAGAGAGAGAAAAAGAAGGGGATGGGAAAATAGCTACCAACGAGATGAGACAGACATCCTCATGGGCCAGCCAACAGACGAGTCTTCATCCGTGGGGAGATCTCCAAGGGTCTTCTCCAGAGGGTCGCTCTTTCATAGTCCTTTTCCAAAGTGAGTGGCCTCTGGCCAAAAAGTGGGAAGATTTATGGACCCTTGCGTGGTTCTGTGGGAGACAGGTGCAGTCGTGCAGTACATGCAGTCTCCAGTTGTATAACAGTCTCCAGTTGGTGCAACACAATCTCCAGTTGGTGCCACAACAGCACAGTCCAGTGAACACAATACACCAGCAAACAGTCACCTGACAAGCATCCACCGTGGCCAGGCCAGGAAACCATTGTTGGGAGTCAGCCTGGGTGGGGCTTCTGGAGGTCTCCTTGTGATGGTCGACAGGCAAAAATGAGGGAAACTTCGGACTGACCCTTACAAACCCCCAGTTTTCCCCCAGTTCTGGAGGGAGCTGTCGTCCCTGGCTCCCTTCACAGAGCTGCTGGATAATAAAGGAATCTCTGTGGAATTTGCCATGACGCTTCCCATCTCTCTGTCCCTGAGTCTGCCTGGGATGGCCTCGCAAGCAGAGCTGAAATCTCTGATCAGAGCTGATCACTTGTGGCCACAGGCCACTGCTTGCCGAGGTTTATCCAGTGGCTAGGAGACCTGCCAGAAGACCCCCTTAGAAGGCAGTCCCTTGTGGGACCTTCTCTCTGGGAAGATTCACGGCTTCCTGGGTGAGAGCATCGGAACTCCACGGACCCTCCTAGCAGCCTACAGCTCCTGAATTACATGAATTCTCTTTCATCTGAAAGATAGCGATTAGAATGACACAATAGAGACAAATTAATGTCACTGTGTCTAGACTATATTCTGTCCCCTTCAATTTAAAAATGCAACAGGGAAAGAATTCATTGACTAGAAAACACTGAATGGAAAGAATTCTTCATGCATTTGATATAAAGTATTTTTAGAAATTCTTCTGCCACATCATTAATTCATCCATTGTTTATATTGCATCATGCCACATCAAAATATAATCTTTACATTATTTATATAATCTTTACATATTTACAGCATAGTCTTTTACATACTCTTATTTTCAGCTTTCTGAAATTAGTATATATTTACCATTTTCTAATATGACTTATTATCTTTGAGGTGTTGAGATATGCTGCCCTTGGATAACAACAGCCCCATGCACTGTTGCAGGTTGGGGACAGAGTGGCTGGAAAGCTGCCTGGTGGAAAAGGACCTGGGGGTGTTGGTCAATGCCAGCTGACCACAAGCCAGCTATGCCCAGGTGGCCAAGAAGGACAAGAGCCATGGCTTGGATCAGCAACAGGGTGGCCAGGAGGACTGTCTTGGTTTGAAAGACAGGTATTTGCTGAAAGAGACAGGGGCTTCTTTTTTAAAAGGAGAGTACAACCCAGCCCTCCCTTCACTTTACCTTGATTTTGAAATTAAAGGGCTCTCAGGCGAAGTTCTTTACTGATTATATATGTATGTAAAAAGGCAAACAAAACACAACAACAATAACTGCGAGATCAGCAGTAACAGAGCAGCAAACCCAGTGAAGAGTTCTCCCGGCTGTGGACACCTTTCCTGTGCGGTGCAGGCTCCGTTCTGGCGCTGCCTGCCAGCTCTCGCTGAGCAGGGAGGAGATGCGGTGATCCCACGGGGCTGGAGGGCGCTGCGGTGAATGGCGTCCGTGTCCCTGATGGGAAAGGCGGAGGGGAGACGCTGCTCATGGATCCCGATGCTCCAAAAGGATGTTCTGAGGTCGGCAGGAGATGCAGGAGAGAGAGAGTGTCCGAGCAGGGAGGTTGCGGGATCCCACAGCCAAGGAAGGCAGCTCCCGGCGTTGGGATGGCGGAGCGGAGTTTCCAGTTACCGTCCTTCTCTGAGCCAGACGAGCGAGAGAGCGCAGCTGCCCCCCGATCTCACGGTGTTCTTCCTCTTTCCCCCACCGCCCCCATCACCAGATAGGGTGTAGCCCGCAACCCTCTCAACCTTACAGTGGGGAAAATTCCACTGAGAAACCCAACCCCCAACAAAGACCATGGCAGTGACTATCCACCTGTGCTGGCACTGATGAGGCCACTCCTTGACTGACAGATTCTGTTATGGGCCTCTCATGACAAGAAAGGCCATTGAGGTGCTGGAATGAGTCCAAATAAGGACAACAGAGCTGAGAAAGGGTCTGGAGCACTGATGAGGAGTAGCTGAAGAAGTTGGGGATGTTTGACCTGAAGAAAGGGAGGCTCAAGGGTGACCTTACTGCTCCCTACAACTGCGTGAGAGGAGGGTGTAGCCAGGGAGGTGTTGGTCACTTCTTCCAGGCAACCAATTACAAAAAAAGAAGAAATGGCCCTAAATTGCAATTGGGGAGGCTTAGATTAGATATTAGGGAAAATATCTTCACTGAAAGGCTGGTCAGGGATTGGAACTGATTGCTGAGTGAATAGGTGGAACCAACATCTCTGACAGTGTTTTAAAAAAGCCTGTCAATGTGGCAGTGTATATCGCTTAATGGTGGAAGTGATGTTGCTGAATTAACAGTTTGTTACCCTGGATGTCAAGTGTCCACCTGGGCTGGATGCCTGGTGCCCACCGAAGCATTTCACTCACTCCTCTTCTTCTCCTGGGCAGGACATACATCAGACACATTGCAAAGACATTGTTACAACCTAGAAAATTATACAGCAGTCCATATTGCTATATGCTTTGCTCTGTGACTGTCTGTTCCCTGTTACAACAGCTGTGAAAACAGGGCCAGTGAGCTGCAATTGTTTTCACTAAGTAATTTAGGGCTGTAGATTCTGAATTTTACAATAATGAATGAGGAGCAGTACAGGGGATGGTAGTGGGATGATATATCTCTAAGGTAATTCACATTAAAGTCTGACATATTTCTTCTTTTAAGTTTGAAGTGATATTATACCTATTTTGGACAAGCTGAATTTTTCCAGACTGTAGCAAAGTAAAGCATACAAATACATAGATGTCTAAAGCAGCCAGATGGCAAGACAGAACGTCTTGCTAAGAAGCAAATAGAAAACAAGCATATAGAAAATAAGTTAAATATCTAAATTTTTTTCTTTCCTTAGAAGTTAATTGTTTACAAGACTCTGGTTTTGTTCAAAACTTTTGATAGAGAAGTCTAGACTACCATAGTTATTTATCTATTTTTATTCAACAGGTCTGAATTTTCTGACTGTAGTTTTTGTTTCATGCAAAATCAGGGCAGTCGTGATCTATTTAACATCTGCCATGCAAGAGACAAGTACCAAGATTTTTAAATACTTAAGTATCATACAATAGAGGGAGGTTTATTTGGAAAAGTTGTATTTTGTATTTTATATAGTTTCATTGTTAATAGTATTAGGTTCTCACATATGCATATATATTTTCCATTCTAATACAGATCCTGTGACCTTACAAGTTTCAGTACCTTTAGAAAATGTATATTGTCCTCATGACTTTTTCCCAATAAGTTCACAGCCTCACTTTCAGTAGCTTACTCCTCATCTTCTAAAATCTCCTTCCTATATATTTTTTTTTTAAAATATTTTTTTTTCCTGGTCTGGAGAGAGTTCATCAAAATCTTCTGAAGGCTTCTTTATGCTTACAAAGCAAAAGCAATATCCTTTATGTCTACCTGTACACTCAAAAAAAAAAAAAAAAAAAGTTGCTTCCCATGACATTCTGAGACCAGATGTTCCATTAAACACATTATTTCTTCCATGGCAATTAAGACTCTTTCAAACCAAATTTTCATTCTAGACATGCTCTATACTTTTCAACCTAGTTTTCTGTCTGTTCTAATGATTAGGTAGTTAATGTATATATATACATTGACATACCCGGTTAATCTTTTGCTACATTCACAACTTTAATCTCATTTACATTTGACTTTAAGCAACTTAGTATCAAGGCATTTTCCCCTAAGAGAATCTGTGAGGCAGGATATTTGGTCCCAGGTGGTGGTTTTAACCATTAAAGTTCAGAAAAAAAAAACCTAATTAAACCAAAAATTTATTTATTTTCATGCATCAGGATCATATATCTTGTTTGCAGCTGATTTCTGCTCTTAGGAGGATGTGCTCTGCTGTCATGTTCTGGTTAATAACTTCCCTAATGTTAATTAAAATCTCCATGATCTTATTTAATTATCTCACAGTAATAAACAAATACTTTTCAGGACAAACCTCAAATGAATGTAGTTATATAAGCATTCATGTAATTATTATAGAATCGTTCAGTTAATTAATTAATTATCAGAAGCCAGATCTCATGTCTTGTAATGAAATTTTACATTGTTTCAATGAATATACACTAAAATATTGATGTAGAGTGAGCTTTGCCACTTTAGAAGGGCAGATGGGAAAAAATGATACTTCAGAAATGGGGATGTATCAGCATACAAAGTTGGAAGAGATGGACCATCTATGGTTCAGGAAATCTTTAATCAGAAAGTGTTCAAACCCATGTAAGTTGTGTCAAATGCTATTCCAGGCCGCAAAATGGTCTTTAAAGTGTGCAGAAGTTTCTCATCCAGCTCATTTAGTAGTTTTTTAAAACTGACATTTCTAGACTGAATATTGTAAGTGCTCTTTATCTGGAACACTGGAAGTGTGGTTTATGTACTATTAACAATATCATATATTTACACTTCATCCTATGACATTAGTATTCTACAATTGCTTCTGGGTTTTGTGGTATGTTACACAAAGACTGTAGTTGTTTATATTGTTTCCATAGAAAAAGAAAAAATTATAAAAAATGGAAAAATTCCACAAAAGAGCTCCAAGTATTTTTTAGTTAAAAAGCATCCCATGCCAAAAGGTTGTTGAGTGATGGGGTTACGAATGCCCCTCTCAATTTGTTAGTATGCTATTTTCCCTATGAAGGACTTATTCAGTTGGTGAATCAAATGACAAAACTTGTAAATATATTTAGCAAAAAAACCCCAAACAAAACACACCAAAAACCCGACACCACAAGAGAAATCTAACTTGTGCTGTCATTATCATAATGAAAATTACAGGTTCTTCTTTTGCATAGTTAACAAAAGACACAGTATATTTTTCTGC